TCGGTTACCCGCAAGGTGGGAATAATTTAGAAACAGCCAATAATGGGGAACAAATTTACATACGGGTGGCAGGAACTCCTTTGCACCGGGGTTTTCTCTCTGCAGCTGAGAATTGCACCATGCAAAGAAAGCTCCAGATGGCGGGAAGTAATTCTGCAGTGCCGAAGCGCGCACACAAATACTCATTAGGTTATGACACAGGTTACAGGGAAAGCAGGTCCAAGTCTTGGTGATACAGTCTGTGTTCCCAAGAATGAAGAACCCCAACACCTCTGTGGCATTCAGTGAAGTCACTGCATACACATGGGCCAACAAGGCATGGACAAGCCTCACCTAGCTGGTTCTCTCGGCATCTTGAGAACAGGTAGAGAAGGTCCAGGGAAGGGCACAAGTATGATTAATTGCACAGAGGGGCCTTTCATGTGAGGAGAGACTAAAGAGGCCAGGCCTGTTCAGTTTAATAAAGAGACTTGAGAGGGAAAAGGATAAGAGTTTCCAAAATACTAAATGGAGAAGAGAAAGCCAATAGGGATTTAGTATAGACTGTCTCACGCTATACAAGAACGAGGGGTCACAACATGAAACTAGTAGGTCATAAGTTTAAAGCTGACACAAGGAAGTTCTTTTCTGCCCAGCGTATCATTAAAGCATAGAACCTGTTGCCACCAGATATGGGGGATGCTGAGAGTTTAGCCAGTACCTATTGAGCATGGGGGTGAGGGGCATGGTCTCTGAATCAGAACTTCCCAGACCTTAAATGCTGGAGGCTGCAGGGGAGAGGAACAGTGGAAAGGACCCAGGTCACTCTCCCTTTCAGCCTCTACTTTCTGCCTCTGCATGACACAAGGGACTGGGCAAGATGGCTGACCTAGACAATGGCAACTCCTATGTAGTTACACTAGTTCTTCATAAGATCATGAGGGGCCATGGCACCAGCTGACTGGCCAGGACCCAGCTGCGATTTCACCTTGAGTGAGTGGCTTCATGGGAATCTGTGGGTATTTTCCTGATCTGCTTTTGCACTTGGCTCTGCCAGGACCTCATCCTTCTTCCTCAGCTGCTTGAGGGCTGGGATCAGGCTTTGCCATGATAGCTCCTATCTGCTTGGCAGCGCTGACAAAGCAGGGGCTGGGACTCTCCATGTCCCCAAAGCGTCACTCATTCACGGTCCCTTCTCTTGGCAATGACTGTGAACCACCGGAGCATGGTGGAGTGTGCCAGCCACTGCCTGCTCCTCGTGCCAATCGCAGCCTGAAGCAGCTGCTGCCACTCATGCCCTTCATCTCACGCAGCTGGAAGGATCATGCTTGGGGCAGCAGGCAGTCAACTGTCTTTGTTACTTTTGCTCTTGCTGAGATGCCATAGAGCTTGGTGGGGACATGTACTGGGGCATGTGGATTAGGAGTAAGGGTTTGGGAGATGGATCAGGTTGTATTCTGACCTGGTTCAGAAGCGGCAGTTTCTGTTGCCTTGCCTGGAGCTTAAGTGAACTGTTCTCAGGGTAAAAACCATGCAGCCCTGAAATGCTCGGAGAGAAGTGATTTAGGCACATGTGCATGCTGTTCTGGCAGGGGATGCTGGAAATTGGGGCTTGTTCCACTGCCCTCCACGTGGAGCTGGGCCACGTGTTCAGGGTAGTGACCATCTACATGTGCCTCCAGGCCAGCTAAGTATAACCAGCAGCAGCTCTCCACAGTGTGAGGCTCAGTTGCCACCTAGAGACAGGGGACAAGGCATCAGCCTATTGGGTTTGGGTCCATTACAAGCACTGGGGCCTGGGGAGGGGCATTTGGGCAGGGTCCAACCCCACCACCTCCAGCTTTATTTACATAGCACAAAATTTCCCAGCCATGTGCCGATGCGGGCCTGGTTTGCTATCAGTCTGCTCCAGCTCTGCTGTCTTGGTGGGAAGTGGGAATAAGCGGGAATTGTCCCTACAAGGGAGCTGATCTTAGGACTGGGAGCTGGGTGCTCCAGCCTCCCTGACAGTCTCTGGCCTCGGGGACGTTGGGAAGGTTGAGTTTTGAATCCCTGCCTCACGTGGCTGACTGCTAACCAGGCTTGGGGTGGGAGGCATGTCTAACCCAGGCCCTGCCACAGGGTTCCAGCACCAGCCTCTGTTCCCCAGCCAAGGGGGCTGTTGGCTTGGAGAGCACCAGGCTGCCCTTGGCAAACCCTGGGGAAGAACTCGCCATCACAGTGGTGACAGGAGGCTTCCTTGCCTGCATGCCAGGGGAGTGGGAACCCATGCCTCTCTTGTTCTGTGTTACAGACAACTGTGTCTCAGTACCAGAGAGAAGTTGAGCAAAACACAGCAGCTCGAGGGAGAGCAGAGGAAAGAGCAGCGGCGAAGGAAGCAGAGGTGGAGGAGCTGCAGCGGCTTGTGCTGGGCATGGAAAAGGTAATGCTTAGTCCAGGAATGAGGGGTGGATCTGGGTTGGAGTGCAGTGATG